TTTGCTCCCTTGGGATATAATACGTTAGGTTAAAGAATCTGAGATGGCAACTGGGCAGAGTGGCACATGCCTGTAAGGCCAGTGGCCTGGGAGGCTGAGGCAGCTGAGTTCAAAGCCAACCTCAGTAACTTAGCGAGGTAAAAAAAAAAAACAAAGAGGACTAGGGGTGTGGCTCAGTGGTTAAGTGCCCCTGGGTTCAATCCCTGGCACCAATAAATAAATAAATGAAATGGCATTAGCTTTGGGTCATCTCCAGGAGACTATGAACTCTCCGGAAAGGCAGGGATTTTCTTTCATTCACCTCTGTATTCCTGGCAGATGGTAGGCATTTAGTAAGTGATTTTTGGTTAAATAAACAAGTTTCAGCAATGAATCACATGGAGAATGCAGCTAATGACAGCCCCGGGGTCTTTCTCTACTTGTGCTGTGGCCTAATCCTGACTTAGGCAGTTAGGTTGGGGACCTCAGGGCAGGACAGAACATTTTTCGTTTATAAATTTCATCTCGATGGAAACGGCTCCTTCAGATCCTTTTCCTGCTCAGGGACAAATCAAGTTGGTAACCCCAGGTTGAGGTCCTAGATGCGGTCCTCATTCCTGTAAAGGGGTGGGCACACGTGTCAGCTTGGTGTCACACCAGCGGGCTGGTTCCTTGTGCCTCTGAGCTAACCGGTCAGCCTCAGCCTGGCCAGGCCAGGGTGTAGACAGCGCCCCCCGCTGTCAGGCTGCATGGGAAGACACTGAGTTTGGAAAACCCCCATCCTCTGTACCAGTCACCACCTCACTTGGCTTTGAGACTCCCGAGGTTTTCAGCCAGGAGGATCTCCAATGGCCCATGTGCGCCCGAGGCCCTGAGCTTTCTTAGAGAAGGATGAGAAACCCACTAGGGGCTCAGAACCACAGCATCCCATGGGACCCTCACGGACCACCTCCAGGAAGGTCAATCCACAATTTCCAGGGGAAAAAAATCTAGAGTGAGAAAAGGTTAGGCTGTGAGGGACTGGAACAAAGCCCAACACTTGATTCTTAAGTCTTCCTACCATGCAAGGGCCCCAGGCCAATACCTTATTTACCTTCATCTGTTCCTTCTTAGGATCAATTCTACCCCCTGCAAAATCAGGACCTCATTCCACTCCTGGATCTCCAATACAGCTGCCCTCATCCACCAATAGCAAAAGAGTAGCATCTGTATGATTGAGGCCTGATTATGAGACACTATTTCAGGTGCACTGTGGGACAGTGGTTGTTCAGCTTTCCTGCACAGGGAAACTGAGCTCAGATCAGAGAGGGTGTGTGACTTGTCCGAGGCCACATTTCTAGCAAATGTCAATGATTCAAACCCCCAGCATGCCCCAAGATCACCAGAAGGAAAATTCAGACCCTGGAAATAGCCCGCTGCTTGCTGCTGCCTCTTGATTGAGTCCAAGAGGGTCCAAACAAAGCCCCAGAACTGAGAATGACTTTCCCCTCCCACCACCACCCACAGCCTGTCATCCCAGCAGCTGGCCTCGGGAAGATGTTCAGACAGGCTGATCTTTCCCAGCAATTCATTCAGAAAATATTAGCCAGGGGCCTAAACTATTGGCACCTTCATCATTTCAAAACATCCTCCAAGCTGGGCCAGTGTGAACAGCAAGACTTTGAGAGTGTCTGTATTAATATTGGCACCAGAAGAGCACACAGACCGGAGGCTGTTAGAGAACAGGGTGGTGAGACACGGCTTGGGTACAGCCCTAAGCCAGGGCATTGCAAATGGATGGATCTTGAGCATCCTCTAAGCACATGTCCCTCTATCCTAAGGAACTTGAAGCTCAGAGAGGGGCTGAGTGATGGCTGGGGTCACTTCGTAAGTGACAGAGCCAGGATTCAAACTCAGTTTATTTGGACTGTTTCCACTAGTGCAGGAATTCCCACCTGCCTGTCCACTTCTCATCTCTGGGGCTGACTTCAGAATTCCTAGTGAGAATTGATCCACAGGAGAAGCCAGCTAGGAGGTCTCAGCAGAGACCACGCCCAGAGGGGACCTACCTGCTAAACATCTCCTGGAGCAGTAAGTTAGAAAAGGAGCTGTTGCCTGCTCCCAGATGGGAACCTGTGCTCTCCTGCGTGCCAATTGAAATCCACTGGCATACATCCCCAGCCCTTAGCCTAGCAGTCACGGCCTCCATAGCCCAGCCCCAACTTGCCTCTCCATCTTTATCTCTTCTGACTTTATCTCTTCAGCCTGCCCTCCTGTTCTGAGAAGGCTGTGGAATTGTACATGCCTGTCCCAGATGCACGGCTAGAAATACTGCCTGTCCCTGGAGATTGCCCCTGCCCCCTCCATCCTGGGCAGCTCAACTCCAAACACAGCCCCCCCCTCTCCACTGAACCTTTCCTAAGCAACTCCTTAAACCTTTACAGCACGTGTCCCCTCTCCCATCCACGTCACTCATGATGATGATGATGATGATGATGATTTAAAAAAAAAAAAAAAACATAGCCACCTTTGCTAAGTCACACTCTGTGCCAGGCTCTCCTGCCTTTGGACCGTAAGCACTCTTTAAGCTGAATACCAGCACTTCAGATTGACAGAGGAGGAAGTAGAGGCTTGGACAGTTGCTCAAACCACCTGGCTGGAGCCCTGGACTCTACAGCCAAGATCTCCACCGTCCAGGCCACCAGGGCCTCTGCACGTGATGCTTTGTTTCCTTAGTCATCATTGTATCTCTGTGGTGCTTTCTGGATTGGCAGCAGGTCTCTGAGAGCCTGGACCATTTCACCCATTTATCTATTCCACAGGAGTTTGTTGGGCACCTCCCACCACATTTCCAGTGTCTAGCGAGGCCTTATCTTGGGCATTAGAAATCCAGAGATAAAAAAAAGAAAACAGTCCCCGTCTCTGCCCTCCAGGGCTCCATCCTGTTTGGGAGACAAGACCCACAGAGAGACAGATGACCGGGCCACTCTGGGCCATTAAGGGGCCGGATAGCCTAGGACATGGAGCTCTGGCCAACTTCACCTCAGATTTGAAACCTGTGACAAATTTGCTCCATTTTGTCCCGAGGCACCTGGTCTATTGTCCTGCACACGGCAGGTGCTCTGTCTGTACTGGTGGCCATGCAGAATGAACACAGTGTCAATGGAGCCCCAGAGTATTTATCTAGTTGGGGTGTCCAGTGGGCTATCTGGGGTGCATTTAGTCTCAACAAACATGTGTCACAAGGAAAGGGACTTATCACAGCAGGACAACCAGGACCTTCTGAGTCTCAAGCTCCTGGCAGGCAAAAGTTCTGGTTCATTCATCTAGGTGACCCGGCAGAGTCGAGAACTGTGCCTCTAACTGAGGGGACCCAGATAAATATTGCTGATTGATGACAGAGGCTTCTGCTGTCTAGGGACAAGTCGTCTCGGACGGTCACTGAGGACAGGCTGGCTGGCACGTCCTATGGTCTCCCAATCTGTCTTTCATTCATCATCTCTCTGTCTGCTAAAAATATTGAGCGGCTGCATTTTCTTCTTCCTTGGGTCCCAAGGGACAGAAAGCTCAACTCTGCCCTGAAACCCCTGAGGAACGACAGCAGGAAAATGTGGGAAAGTTTCACCTCTGGATTGAATTTTCTTTTCTTTCTTTTTTTTTTTTTTTTTTAACCTTTCTAGGATAGTCCATGGCTATCCTAGAGCCAGACATAAGGGCTGAGCCTGCGAGTAGAGAGGGCTCCCATCAAGCTCCGGACCCCAGCTGCTCCTGAAGCTGAGGACTACTGTCCCAGCCACCTTGTCTGCAGCATCTGACAGGGACAGACTCATCTCAGGAAGTGCTAAAGGAGATGACGGACACAAACCCTCATCTGTTGGCTCCAAGGTTGGATCTACTTTTTCAGAGGGTGGGGATTGTTTCCATACACAGTATCCTCTGCTGGTGACCAGCCCCTTGCTGCAAGCACTGATCCCTGCCCATCCCCAAACAAATGTCCAGAGTACACACAGAAGCCAAGAACCCTGAGTGCTAGTCATGCGCTTTCCCTTTACTCAGCTCCCTCCCACTGAGGGCCACAGCCACAACCTGGAAGGATGGTCCAGGGGTTAGAGAACTTTCCAGAACTGGGCCAATGTCTTCCTCTTACTTTCCTGAGATCCCTGCAGGGCATCCTGTAGCTCATCCCTGAACAAATGGTAGGACTGGGGTGACTTGGATACCCCAGGGACAAGGGCCTTGGGGAAGGAGCTAGTCTTTAAGGACATAGCCTCTTGACTCCCAGGCTGCTTCCAAGGGCTCTGCCTCATCTTACTTGATTGGACTATTGGTGATCTCCAGGCTCCCATCCCAGGGCAAGTGGTAATCTGACCACCCAGCAGGAGGAGCAGGGGACAACTCCACTGTCCACTCCAGGCCCCTCTCCCACTCCGCCCTGCAATGTTCCCAGGACCTGTGGAGCTAGAGGCTTCACCCAATTACCCAGGACTCCCACCTCAAGGCCCAGGCCAGCTTGAGGCATCTTCTGACCCAGTCCTACCAGTGGGGGGTACACACCCCGGACCCCTGCAGCAAAACAACTGCCTCAGCAGCAAAAGAGCAGTCTCAGATGCCAGAGTCTCTTCCAGGCTTCGCTTACCTGTGTCTCAACCCAAATCCTCTATCCTCTCCCTACCCAGGACCCCTGCCCCAAGGCCCAGAGTGTTTAAATCACCTTGCATCACAGGCATTCCTGGGGGTCCTTCCAGAGCTCTCCAAATCTCCACCTCCTTTCCTGGGGACCATTAAAGGGTCAGAGCTCCTCACTCAATAGGTGCCCTAGATCCCATCCTTCCACCCCTGTCTCTGCCCTGTTTCAAGGTCCTTCCTCTATTTCTTTCTTCCTCTGGGGCAATTCTTTTTCCCTGGGCCCTGTCTGATTCCTTCCTATGCCCCAGACTTGCCGGTGTGTCTCCTCCTTCTTCCCCCACGTGTATCCTGGCTTCCCTACCAGCCACAGCAGGTAGCCTCCGGAGTTTAAAGCCTCAGCCCCACCCCGTGCTCACCGCCACCATTCTTGTAGCAGAGGTAGGGGAAGCGCCACACGTTGGCCAGGTCCACCGCGAAGCCCACCACCGACAGCAAGAAGTCGATCTTCTTGCCCCAGGTCTCACGGGGCTGCGCATCGCTGTTGCGGGGCGCCAGGAGGCACTGGACGCCGTTGCGTTCCTTCACCACCAGCAGATCCGCAGTTTGGCAAGCGGGCAAGGACGGCTCGGGTTCAGGGTCCTCCCCGCTGGGCTGCACCTGCGGGTTCATCCGCGCCAGAAGCATGGGTGCGGCTGGCTAGAGGGACTTTCAGCGGTACCGGTACCGGAGACACGCAGAAGCTCTGCTCGTATCAAAGGAAAAGAAGTGGTCACTTGGTGAGGGCGGGGGTCCTTCCTGCCTGTGCCAACAGAGACCACTGGGGAGATTGGGATCAGCGCGCGCTGAGCGGACTCGCGGTTCGCAGGAAAGGGATTACGTCTGTTGGAAAAAACTGGATATAGAGGTTGTGACGCGCACCATTGGGACAAAACTCAGAGGTGGAGACCGCTTTGGACCTCCCAGTGAGTCCGACTGAAGAAGACCCCGCAGCGCTCTCTCTGGTTCACTTTCTTGCTCGCTCTCGCCCTCAAACAGCCGGGTCTGGACATACCAAGGCTGAAGTTTCCCGCGGTGACAGTGCCCGTTGCGCTTTCCGCCCTCCTCCCCACAGCGGGTCTTGGCCACCTCCAACAGCCCCAGGAGCCTCTGCACTCAAACTTGTGGGCACTCTAGTTCGTGGGCGTCAGCCTGGGTCTGTCTCCCTGCACACCTAGCCCGGTCCCGCGCGCAAGGCGCACTCACGTGTGGGGCAGCAAGGGGACCCGGGTGCCTTGCGCTCTGCCGGTTCTGGGGAGTGAGCCGGGATTGGGCTCCGCCGCGTGGCACTCGGGTGCGGCCAGAGGAGCGCTGGAGTCCCGGGCGGCCAGCGGCGGGACGTGGGCTGGCTGGTTCTGGCCACGCTGGGCGGGGGCCGGCCTGGTAATGTAGCCTGCGCCCCAGGTAACGCGCCGATTGCATTAGCCCAGCGCCCAGCCCGCTCTGTCTGGAGCCTGTTAGCACTAATGGAGACTGACAGCCGGGGATGGGCAGGGGCGGGGGCGCCTTGCGGGCCAAGGGCGGCGGGAGCGGGCTACCCGAGGACTCAGGGGACCCGGGAGCGCACATTCTCCATCCTGCGCTGGAGCACTCCAAAGGACACCAGATTCCGAATTCTCACCAGAAGACGACAGACTCCTAGAAAAGTCCTCAAAGAAAGTCCAAGAATGGACTGGCAAGGGCGACCTGTGCGCAGCCAGCGCTGTCATCCGCAACAGGCCATTCACACTACCTGCTCAGTAGGGACGAATGCTCTGCTCGCTGTCCTGGACTCCAATTGGTAGTCTTCGGGTGGTTTTGACGGGCTCAGCGGGCCGAAAGGTTACTGTCTTCAGCAGTGACCTTTGAAGGTTGTGACCCCTGCTTTATAAGGTTAAGAACTGATATTCATCTATTTAGTCATTGGTTCACCCTTTCGCTCATTGGTTCTTGCGTTTTCCTCCTACTTGCTCCTTGAGGCCCATTCGTGGATGACACCACCAAGATTCTTGATGACATGGAGTTGATATTTAGTCCGGGGAGACAGGGGAAAAGAAGAAACATAACAAACACGTTATGTAGTAGGGAAGAAGGTCACGTGCACTATGGGGGAAAGCACGGCAGGGTAAGGGGTTGGTGGGGGAGGAGCAGGGTCAGCAAACTCTAGAAGGTAGGGTTTAGCAAAGAGTCGGCCACTTTGTGGCTGACCGCCTGGTGGTCATTTGCTTACTTATTCACTTGTCAGGTGATTAATTTATTCATTCATGACACCCGATTCATGATCACTTGCCGCTAGCTTCAACAGAGCAGGCTGGAGGAGCCATGGGGAGTTCCTGCCAACAGGGAGTTCCCAACCCAGTGTGTAAAGAGAGGGTCACATCTTAGTATAGTGGGGACTGATTGAAACCGTAGGAGTATGGAAGTTTGGTAAAGCTGGATCGGCAAGTAAGGGGTGGTGTGGTAGGAATTTGGATAAAGCCTGCCACCCTGCCCTCCCCCTGTTTTTAGCATCCAAAGATAAAACCCACCCCAGGACTCTTACACTTGCTGTTTCCTCTGCCTGAGCCACTCAGATCCCTTCCTAACCTCTCAAATCCAAAAATACACTCTCAATCTCAAACACACCACCCTATTTTGTTCCCTTCATGACATCACAGTCCAAAATCATTGATTTGACAACTCCAGGAGAGCAGAGACTTTGTCTGATACACCACTGTGTTCCCAGGACCTGTGACATCCAATAATACAGCATCAGTTAGTAAGTGAGGTGAATGAATGAGACCGAAGGCAGAGGGCAGGAGATCAGGGGAAGCGGGGAGTAGAGGTTTTAGGATGAGATCTGGGAACTGTAGGTTCCCATCCATCAAGGCTACTTATCCCCTTTGGACTGTGGACCACTGTGACAAGTCTGTAAGGAAGATTGCCCAGAATCATCTTTCCAGTTTTCAGGTTAGGACACTGTGGCTTTGAGGGCACAAGTTATCTTAGCTCCCACAGGTGGGAAGTGGCAGAGTTGAAATGAGAACTCCGGTTGCCTGGCTCCCACAACTTATGGTTGGAGACATTTGGGTCCCTCCTGCCCTCTACCCCCTGCCCCATCCATCTGATTATCAAACTCTGAGACTCCCATTCCTAAAAGCCTTGCAAAGCCCCCCCCCCCCAGCAGCCCAGCAGAGGGTCCTCATGTCTCCTGACTGGTCGTCCCACGTCCAGTATCTTTCCAGCCATATGATCATCACCAGCTGCCGGGATTCTTTCTACGACTCAAGTCTGACCACCTTATTCCTCTGCTTAAAACTCCTCTTGAGACACACCAAGACATCAATGTGATTTAATTAACCTTGGACTCGAGGTAATTTTATTTTCTTCTTTATGCTTCTTTGTCGTTGCCAACTTCTCTACAATGAGCAGTTGATATTTTCGCAATCAGGAAAAGATAACCCACAATTTTCAAAAACCCTTTCATCTTTCCAAGACAATATCTAGACATGTTCAGCTGTGTAGACAAGATTCGACTTGTCTGGGTAACCCTATCTTCTGCCACTCTAATTCTTCATTTTCACTAAAGATTTTGCCACTTCTGACACATGCAACATGGGAAACTCCGTGAATAGTAGTTCCCTAAACTTATGCTTCTTCTTTTATGCATTACTAAATTTTAAAATATGCTATTTCCATCTGATTGTCTTTATGGAGAACTCCTATTCACCCTCCAAAACCTCCTACGTCACCTCTGAAACCTTCCCTGATTGATAACCGTCTCTCACAACAGAGTCAAATACCTTTTGGTTGCTTTTATATTGCTGTATATATTTGTGTAGTTCAGTTACACAGAGGACTTCCCTACCAGGGACAAGGACAATGCTGGATGTATCCTAGTGTATAAATAATATCCAGAAAAGGTTTATAAAACAGAACTAGAAGAGATCTCATTCTTTGATTGGGTTGAGGGTGGTTTTGTATTGGATTCTTCTAGAAGCAGAACCTGAAGCAAAGGTTCAAATTCAAGTAGTTTATGTAGGAGGCAGTTGCTAGAAGCATTGGGAGAGAATTAGGAGAGTGAGACAGGAAAGGGAATGAACCCTCAGCAGAGGGTAGATGTTAGTTAGTGCTGGGGCCATCTGATATGTCTGCTGCGGGGACCTTGGAGACACCGAGTACGGCCTGGAGTCGTGTCATCCAGGGGCAAGGAAGCTGGCGTGTGGATCCACCTGGGTGGCACCTGAGGACTGGCTTTCCCACATTTCCAGCCCACCTGACATGGGGCCATCATGCTTCTGCTGCCAAGGAAAGGCTTCCCACAGAGGCCCAGACACTTGCAGCAGGAAGCTGTAGGGTCCGGTCTGCACTGGCGAGGAGGGTGTGGGCAGGGCCCTGGAAGTACTCGCTGCAGGGCCAGAGGAGCCACACCCACCCACCCGCCACCTGCAACATGCACACCCTCAGAGGACCAATCAGCAAGAGTTCCTTCTGTGGTTTCAGAGACATCTGGGATATAGCAGTGTGGACACCAGGCTGAGGCTGAGCAGAAGGGAAGGCGTCTCCTACATCTCCGGCCCAGACTCCCTGCTCCCAGCTCCAAAAGCCATGAGGCCATGTGGCTTCTCCTGGTGCCCTGCATCCTGCCCCCCAGGCAGCCTGAGGGCAAGTGGTGGGCAGGAGGCTGGAGCATTATCAGAGCTGACATGGTCTCTGGGGAGGCGTCACTTCCACTTACTATGGCCCTTGGTGACACAGGCCATGGGATGCACGGCGATGGCTGGTGCTGTGGGTCCAGCCTGGCCATCTCCCTGCAGACACCAGGGGCCTGGCACACGGGGCCGGGTCCTCAGGTACAGTCAGTCTTCACCTCCATTTGCACCAAGGGGGAAAAGAAGGGGAAAGGGGAAAGGAGTCTGCCTCCTGCCTCCCTCCCTCTCCCCACTCCTTTAGGGACATCAGATCTGTTTCATTGCAGTTAACTCTCCCTAGGGTCATGGGTCATTTACCCAAATTGTGCAGTATTCACAAATAGCATGAAAGTTTCCTCATCACAAGATCCCTCTGAGCTGGGCAAGCTGAGCACGTCTGTACTTCCGGGTACTGGCCTGTCTTCCACTGTTGACCTTCACAAGTGTGTCCTCTGCGTCTCCCCCACCCCCAACAAATTCCACATGCCTTCATCCCACAAGAGACTGGACATCTCTATGAGGGTAATAAAAGGCCCTTGGAACTGCCCATGTCCCAAGCAGAGTCCTGGAGGTCCCCTCCCTAACACAGGCACAGGCCGGCTTCTCCACCCTGCTCCCCGTCCCAGGGAACGGCCATCTCCCTCCCTCCCTCAGGCCAAACCCCGGAGTCAGCCTGGACTCTTCTTCTTTCACTGCCACATCTGACCCTGCAGCACACTCTGTGGGCTCCAGGTCTTGTCACATCTCTGCATCTCTGTGCTGGGGTGACTTCCCTGTTCTAAGCCACCATCTCCTGCTGGGATGACATGATGGCCTCTGAGTAGCCTCCTCGATTTCTCCCTCTGTCCTTTGAAGCTTGAGCCCTACACAGCCGCCAGAAAGACCTTTGGGAATGAGTTTGGATCCTTCCCCCCCCCACTCCACCCCTTCTCTCCTCTCTGTCTCATTCAGAATAAAATCTAAGTCCTTCCAGGGCTGATGTGAATGAGTGATGGAGCTCATCCTTGGGTGGACTCGGCCAATGCATGGGAAGCCAGGTGGAGCAAGAGCAGGGTGCTGGGGCAGAGGACAGAGTGCAGGTGGTGTGGCGGGAAGGGCTCGGCTGGGAGCCGTCACCCAGCTCTGATGTGTTTGGAAACTGTGGTGGTGGCCAAGTCGACCAGCAAGATGCGCAGCACCATGGAAAGAGGAAGGCAGACAATGCCCATGTCAGGAGAAGAGCCCCCGAAGGAGACAAGAAGGTGTCCAGATTGGAGCTCAGTGTCCCCCCCTCTGAGTTCCCAGACACGCCCTTTGACCATGATCGTGAAGGTTATGGGGACAGACTCTCACACCTGGATAGTGTTCCTCTCCAAGGCAGAGGGGGTTGTGGCTGGTTGACAGGGATGATCCATGATCTGCCTGGCATGGGGTCTCTGTCCTTCCAGGAGCCACAGAATAAGACAAAAATCTCAGAAATCTTCATGCCCTGTTGTCCTCCGTCAGGAGACCAGACAGTCCAAAGGTAATCACATGAATGTGCAGAGAGGCTCAGCATTTCTAAATTGATGTATGAAATTTATCATCCGTAAGAAAAAGTATAGATCCCAGGTGTGACCAGTCCTCAGTTTAAATAATAGTAATTATTATTATAGGAACCTACAAGAACTCACCCAGTTCTCCAGTTTAAGGAGAATACATCCATGTCCCACGGTCCCCTGTGTCTCTCCCTCAGCGGGTTCCTTCACCCCTCTTCCCTCCACA